CATTGTGTATGTGTAAAACCCACCAAAAAGGTCTAATTTTTGGTCAAGTAGGCTGTAGACAAAAATGGGTTCGAGCCCAATCTGTCTGTTTGCGGCTTGATTTTGAGAATTTGTGCTGGTAAGGATTTCTTGAAGCAGTTTTTGGTGGCAATCATGGAAATGAAAGAAAAAAGGGTACTTGTGTTATGAAAATGCAATGGAGGAGATAGAGTGAAAGGAGTATATTTCAATTTTCATGTGCTTAAAAACTCCGATTTAGGAGAATAACTGATTAAGGGCTGATTGGGGAATATGAAATTCTGGAAAATACTACAGTCCCGTTACGGAACCATTCCGTTGCGGGTTGTAACCGTTAGATCATCATGTAACCGTCGGGAATAGTTAATCTAACGGTTACAAACCCCGACGGAATGATTCTGCAACGGAACCGTAATATCTCCCTGAAATTTATGGTTTTTGAATAAACTTTGTGCTTTTGCTGTTGAGGTAGCTCAGAGGAAAATGGTACCCTTTGAAAGCTTTTAAAATTTTAACTTGGTTAGAGTTGAATATAATGGCATTCTGATGGCTCTCTGTTAGAGTTGATTGTTGAGTTTTGGTGTGTTGCTATTTGAGTTGGATCAAAAGCTTTGTGGCCTTAGCAATCGACTTATAAGCATTTGATTCAGAAGCTTTTGATAGAGAGGAAATTCGAAAAAGGCCATGGAGCTTTCCAGAGCCTTCTGTTCAGTACATTTCCTACTTCAGGGCATTTGAGGATATGCTTAATTGCTTACGAGTAGTCCTTGAATTCCTCGAGTTTGATGAATGTTTTTTTTGCAGTGTCGGATTAATGGTACGCTGTCAAGTCCTTTGTCGATGGAAGTAGATTTTTTTAGGCTAACGATTTGCTCCACATTTGTTCGCATGATATTTGTAAACATGACATGGTTCGTGCTCTTTTTTTGGTTCTGCTATGAAGTGCATTTATCCACAATGCCAAAGAGAAAATAGATTTTTTTGTTGATTTAGCCCTACAAAAGTCTCTTTCATGTGTTCGGATTCGTGTTTTTCAAGTTTACGCGTATAAGGTTATCAGCATTTTCAGCAAGGATTTTTGCAGGTTCACAGCCAGAAACGATTTACATGTGCTGCATGTGTCGAGCATGGAAGCTTTTCGGCTGATCATCCACTCAGTTGTCTGCTAAATTTTGCAGAAGTTAGGGACCAAAGTTGCGAATCGATCAATACTAGAGACTAATTTTACAATTTTCTTGCTACATGTAGTTAAAAGGAAATCTCTTAATATAAAGACTTGTATATGACTAGTAAAATTATCAAATTGAAGTGTTTTTTTCACCCCAAAGTCCCAAACTGTACCTAACATAGAGGGTATTGGCAACAATAAATTTGGTCGACTTAAAGATAGTAAAATTTGGTTTAGGTGTTCTCCTTCCTGTGAATTTTGTGCAATTTTAGGAGAGATAAAAAGATACAAACATTTTTAAACACATGAATTTACATTCATTTATAATCATCATATTTTATTTATATCTCTTTTTTCTCTTCCAACCTCAAAATATTTAATACCCATTAATTCCACTTGTTGTCTTTTAAAATCATTTACTTTTATTTATTTTTCAATAAAGGGTTCAACTTGAATTCACATTTATTTAAAAAGATTGCAGCTCAACATGTAATAAAATAATGTAAACAATTGCATTTTTGTTTTATGAAGTATGGCCATTTTTTTTTATATAATAATTTTTAGGTTTGTTAATAATTACCTACCAATAACAAAAAGGTCCACATACTTTTAAATAGATATGTCCTCATAGACTATAATCCTCATAAATAAATTTATGAACATTTATTTCACTTTGAAGACTGAACAATTACACCAATCTCCTCTATTGCCCCAACCCTCAACCATTCTTAATTTTATTATCACAAAATTTTTGTGTGAGACGGTGTAAGCGTTAAACGGGTCGATCTGTTAGAATTTTTTAAACAAAATGCATATTTACGCTTTAAAATATCGTACATTTGTTTACATTATGTTTTAAAATATGATATTTTCTAACGAAATTATGTGTATTTGTAAAAAGAAAACGCTCGTTACTTCATATATGGTTGTTTATTCATCTCTAATTTCTATTCAATATATAGATGTGTAAAGACAAATAAACACAACCATATCTCATATTCCTACCCATATCTCATTAGCCACACCATTTTTTAATCACCAAAAAAAAAAAAAAAA